CCTATGTAGAAATAAACAGCTCATTCTAAGGTAACAGAAACACAATTCTTAATTTCAAATCATACACACTGGACCTTTAACGTAAATTCCTAAGGTAAAAAATTAAGCAAAATTCTTATTAATCAAAATTAATCAAATCCCTTAATTACAAAATTAGGTAAAGTTCTAATGAAACAAGAAAAATCCTTCATTATAAAAAAAATAAGTAAAATCCTTTGGAACAAAATTAAATTAATTACTTTAATACAGAATTAATGATCCAATTCTTGATTACAAAATAAGCAAAATATTTTCATAACAAAATAATGTAAAATGTTTATGAAATTAAAAAAAAATCCTAGAGTACAAAATTAAGTAAAATGATCATATATGCAAATAAGAAAAAGCAAACGTAGTTGTGAATATTATATTCCAATTTCTGCCAATATATCCTCCTAAATCCTACACACTGGACATTTACGTAAATTCCTGAGGTGAGAATTAAGTAAAATTCTGATTCTATAAGAACATTTTACAACTACAAATTTAAGTAAATTCCTATGAAATAAGGAAAATCCTTAATTTTGAAAAATAAGCAAATACTTGAGCACAAAATTAAATAAAATACTTTAGTACAAATTAATGATCAAATGCTTGATTAGAAAAACAAGCAAAATTCTTATTCAATAAGTGTGTTTCATAAGTACAAAATTTAGTTAATTTCTTAATTACAAAATTAAGTAAAATTCTTATGAAATACGAAAAATCACTAGTTATAAAAAATATGCAAAATCCTTTAGCACAATATTAATGATCAAATTCTTATTTAATAAGTACATTTTATAAGTGCAAAATTGAATAAATTCCTTAATTATAAAACTAAGCCAAAATTCTGGAAAAAAAAATCCTTTAGCACAAAATTAAGGAAATTAATTTAATACTAAATTATTTCAATATATGCTGCTAAATCCTACACACTGGACTTTAAAGTAGGAGACAGACAGGATCTATATCAGGCCTTACAAGTCATTAAAAAGTCATAAAAGTTGTGAAGATGTTTATTAATCTAATTTGATTCGTCCATCTTTTCATTTATTTATGTTAGAATGAGCCGAGCCCGTCTGTGTGAAAGTCCACATTTCTGTTGTTATATATATGTTTAAAACTAACGCTGTGGTTTTTCTTAATAATTTCACTAACCTGTTGGTAAAATGTAGATTAAGCTAACTCACTGTAGTAACCATATTTCTACATAAAACCTACCTCAGCACAGGACGACATACTGACCTTTGTACTCACCTGAATGCTTGAATAACAAAATGTTGATTTGTCCAAAAATCTGTCTTAAATATGGTTAAAAATTCTCTTTAAAAGGTTTTTAAACTTAAATGTAAGTGTCTGATACCTGCAGACACCCTGACGGAGTTAGCAGCTTCAACAGAAATGAGACTCTGGATCTGTGCAAAATTTTGGGGATATTTCATAATCCAAAAATAGGTGCTCCTAAATCCTGTTCCTGCACTCCTGTGGATGCTCAGGATGTCACTTCCTGTTTGTGTTGCAGAATCTGGAGCACGACCTGCAGCAGGCGGAGCGTCAGTTGGCTCAGGCGCGGCGTGTTCACCAGCAGCACCAGGAGCGTCTGGTGGCTCAGCACCACAAACAGCAGGAGTGTTTTGTGCAGCAGCAGTGGGACGACTGCCTGCAGCATCTGAGCTCCATGTTCAGCTCGGAGAGGTCAGTGAGGATCCACAGCGCCTCTCTCTGAGCGTGGAGAGCAGACACTTGGGTTCAGTTTGAGACGCTCAAGTGGAGATTTTAGGTTTCAGAAATCGTCCTCTGCTGCAGTTTGTTCTGTAACGTCTGTGGTTGTTTTTCAGGGAGCAGAAATCGTCTCTCTCTCAGCAGCTGGGAGATAAACAGGAGCATGTGAAGACCACTGTGAGGCAGCAGCACCAAACTGAGATGAATGAAATCCTCAAACTGTTGGCTGAAAACACCCCAGCTGACAAGAGGACAGCTCTTGAAGAGGAGGTACCTCACACAACCAGCTCTCTTTAACCTTTTTCAGTCAGAGACACACTAATGTTCAAAACTTCATAATCTGCTGCCTCAGAGTCTGATGTGCTCCAGTCAGACGTGTGAGAGAGGACTCAACTATGTGTCTGAACGGTCTCTGATGCTTTCAGGTTGTAGAAAGTTACAAACAGATGTTACTTAGTATGAAGGGTTTGTTTTGTACATGAGAAAACGACGTACGATGGTTCAACCTGACTGACAACGTAAAGACTCAAAGATCCCGCTGAGCAACAGCTGAATACGAAGAGAAGAAATCAAGTTTGAAGTCCAAAGTTACTTATTGGTCAAGTGAACAACAATTTTAAGAGCATCCACTGCCACTGAAATACTCGGGTCTCATACTCCCTCTCACATTGATTTAAATATGTACAAAAAAATTAAAATAAATAAATAAAATTTAAAACAACAACAATAAAATAATATAATAAATAACCATAAAACATTTAAAAAATTAAAAAAATAAAAATGATATAATAGATTAAAAAAATAAGAATAAAGATCGAACACTTATTCTTGAGAATTGGGACAAAACATGTCGTGCCAAAAAAGAACAGGTGACACATTATTTTAAAAGTAAAATATTTTTATGAAATAAATCTGATTTATAAATTATTTAATTATAATAATAATAATAATAATAATAATAATTTACTTTTTTCAACTTTCAAACTCGCCCTGAGCCAAAAAACATTCTGGTCCCAGACAAAAATTCACAACAATTAAAAAATGTGTTAAAGCAGAATCTAAAACCAACAGTACAAACTGGTCAGTGTGAAAATGTACCATTATAATCATCTTTGTTTTAAAGTACTGTTGTCCTGACACCAAGACGTCAAAGCTTGACCTCCTCTCTGTAGGCTATCTCATCGCCCTCTGTGATCAGGCCAATGATGGTCATGTCGTCTAGGGTTGCAGTGATAAACCGTTTTCAAGGTATACGGTGATTTTGACATTTGCTTATCTACAATATTGAAAACAAAATGCAGCTACACGTTGAATCTCCCTTTTATCTTAATTATTTTCAAGGGGAGACTTTATACACGAACTTCCATAAACACAATGGTTTCAAGTTTCAGTTATAGTAATAAAACGTTTGTTCAATCAAGAATAACCCTTCTGTTTTCATTCCTTTAAGGCTCATTCTGACTGATAATAATATAAATTCTGTGATATGGTGATACTGTGAAACCGCGATATTTTCTGAGACAGTTATCGCACCATGAAAATCTCATGCCGTTGCAATCCAAATGTCGTCAGAAAACCCAATGATGGGAGTACAGGAGAGGGCCAAGCACACAGCCCTGGGGGGCTCCGGTGTAACGAGTCAGGGTGGAGGATGTGGCTGTGCCTATCCACACGGCCTGGGGTCTCCCAATTAGGAAGCTCAGACACCCATGTCTGTGAGCTTGATGACAAAACATCATAACACGATGCAACATCGGGAAAAGAAACTGGAAGCATAGCATCAAAATGTGCGCAGATTTAAACAGGAACAGATCCCAATAAAACTTCCAATAAGCTGGAATTAACTCAGCAAAGCTCTTCACAAGAGAAACAGATGGTTAGTCACTGCTGGAGTATCAGCTGAACACACTGTGGACTGACAAATCACAGTTTAAACCTCCTCAGTCTGACTGAAGAGAGATAACTCAATATTAAGAGCCCATGAGACACTGTGGAGACATCTACTCACTTCATTCTTCTTCTTTTCAAATGTCAATAAAACATCTGCTGTCTGAATTCTACTGTTTTATCTCTGTTACAAGAGTTACTATTGAAGTAAAGAAGAGAAACATCAACATAACAGTGGTGTTTGGTGTGTCCTGATCCGAGTCTCTGATTCGTCTCCTGTCTCTTCTGTGAAAAGGAAGCTGATATGATCCAGGAGAACACAGACAGGCCGGAGGAGGAGACCCCTCAGAACCAGGAAGCTGTGCAGCTCTGCAGCGTAGAAGCAGAGAAGCTCGGAAGAAGTCAACAGAAGAAGAAGCTGAAGGTCAGTGAAGACAACGTTTCTCTTGCATCACGAAACAGAAAACTTTAGACAGTAAATTAGACAAATTAAAGACAGATGAGTTTCCTGTCCCTCGTATCCTGATCTTCTCCAGCTAGATGACATGTTGGATTAAAGTTTTAGGTCCAGAACAGATGATACAGCATCAGTCTCCTTCCTCTTTCAGGAAGACGTCGTCCGTCCGAGGGCGAGGCTGAACTCCAGTATGAGAGAAAACGAGTTGGTGGAACAAGATCTGATGGCCGACATCCGCCAGGTGAACAGGTGGACTCATGAGCTCCGGGATCGGCTGACTGAGGCTCGCGTGGCGGCCAGGAAACAGCTGACTGAGCTGACTGTCCAGAGCAACGAGGCTGCCAAGAAACTGCAGGCGGTCCTCGCCAAGGTGACACAAGGTCTCACGTCCTGTTTGTCCACAGCCGAGTCCTCTCTGTTCTCATTCATGTTTTCACTCTGCGCTGATCCAGGGTGGGAAGGTTTCACGAGTCGTCGCGATGTGTCACAAGCTGGAGAAGAACGTCTTAGTATCATTACCACCTCCAGAGGAAGTGAGACAGGAGAGAAGTGGACTTGCGATAGACGAACCTGTGCAGGTAGGATGTGATTCATGTGGACGTGCACCAAATACCTCTCACATTAACGTCACTCAAAACATGATAGTGGAACCAACAACACGCAGGTAGCTGTCACTAGCCCCTTTTACGCTGCTTCTCCAAGGCGGGAATTTCACACTGTTAATCTGCCTCTCCGTTCTTTATATAAGGTGCGATCGCAGATTTGGGGGACAGAGTTGGAGGTAGTAACACCCCCAAATCAACATCTGAATAAAAGGGACAGCCAGCAGGTCTTTATCTGGACACATTTTCCTCACAAATACAACATGCTAACATTTTTAGCACAAGGTAACGTAACAAAATTCTGCTCCATTACAACTCACAAGGTTCACTGACAAAACAATTGTCTTATACTAAACACGTTTTCCAAACAAATACAACATGCTAATGTTTTTAGCACAAGCCTATGGCATTTTACATTGTATAAATTAGCATAGTGGTTAGCGGACTTTTCCTCTACTCATATGAAGCCAGGGACAACAGCAACATTTAACAAACGTTACAAAATTCAGCTCCATTACAGCTCACAAGGTTCACTGACAAAACAACTGTCTTATACTAAACACATTTTCCAAACAAATACAACATGCTAACGTTATTAGCACAAGCCTATGGTATTTTACATTGTATAAATTAGCCTAGTGCCTAGGGGAGATTTCCTCTGCTTATGTGATAAATCACAGTAATTACATTTCTTCATTTCTGGTTACATTTCTCGGGAGGTGCCCGTCAGGCTACAGTGCAGGCTCTGTGTCGACGTAGGTATGGCGTCCATGCAGAAGTATAAATCCCGCTTTATGTGTACAATGCGTCAGCAGCATACAATAAAGCGCTGCTGACGTGTTTATGTCACACTGGAGGCTGACGCTGTGGTGTTACACATCACACCTCTTTTCCTTCCAGGTGTTGTTTAAAATCACATGCTGTAGCTGCACGATGCGGCCATTGTTTGGTTCTGTGTAAAAATGCAAAGGCAGCGTAAAGAAGGGACTCTGTAGTGGCCCCATAGCACCATCTCAGGACGACATGGGGCCGTTCAAGCTTTCACATTGGCCACCGTAATTAGCAGCCCATCTGCAACGAGCAGCATCGGAAAAACACTGATTATTTACCGTGAAACGTCTTTATTCAGTGTTTTTACTGGTTTAAATCACCTGGTCTGTTTGTTTTAAAGAGGAAGAGACCTCTGTGGATAATTCAGCTCCTGGTAAAAACCTCCTGAACAATAAACACTGAAAATGTAAAAAGAAAATATAACCGGAAGTCAAGTTTCAGCTGGTTGCAATCTGCAGTCCTCATCACTAGATGCCGATAAATCTACACGCTGCTCCTTTAAAGTGGCTGAAACACAAGTTTTTATAGTAACAAAGTGTAACATGATGATGTGAGTGTGTAAGAGGAAACAAAGTGGTGACCAGTAAACTGTTGCCTTCACTCACCTGTGTGTCTGCAGGAGATATCAGAGCTGCAGCAGGTGATGAGGAGCATCAACACGTCAGTGCTGCAGCGAGAAGCTCAGAGGAAACAGAAACGCGACCTGATGCAAGAGAACCAGCAGCTGAGGATTCTGCTGCGTCAGCACCTGGACGCCATGATGGTCAGCGACAGCGACATCAACACACCCCACGCTCTGCTCAACGTGTACAGGGCCCCGGCCACAACGGCTCCCCATGTCACCGACAGACGCCACAATGTCATCGAGGCTGTTTACGTCGTACAGCACTCACTGTGACAGTGTTACTGCAGAGCTGAGACGAGACTGGATCAGAAGCAGCTGCTGTGATTCAACAAAATATAAACTGTGTCTGAAAACACTATATGACCAGAAACAAATAATTTCGTTTCAATAATTGTGTTTTCTTTTCTTTTGTCTGAAACAAGTCATTGGGTCTCATTAATGAAACGTGAGCAAAACACGTGTATTGCAACATTCATGAATGTTAGTAGCTCCGATATTTTCGTAGGTACTACTGAAATCTACACCTGCTTCTGACTGCTCGTAGTGCGTCTGTAAATAAGAGATCAAACATAAATTTTGCTGTGCTGTGTTCCGTTCACAATACACAGATGACTTTGAAACACACGAGTTAAACATGACAAAAGATCAAAAATATGACACATTTAGATACATCAGTTGGCATTTAGCAGATTTAATCTTCAGATTAAGGTTCGCAAAAATGTGAATGAGTTATTTAAATAGATTAAAAATGTGTTTTCTACTTTTTTGACATCCTGTTCCCACGTGATTCACTCAGGAAAGAAGTCCACAAATGTATCTTCTGTTAGAGTGGTGAGACTGTGAGAGCCACGTTACTGACCAAACACTGAGCTGTCAGTGATGGCTGTTAAAATATACAGCGATTTATCACTTCATATAACACGTACATCACTGTGCCGTCTGAGTTTGATACTGAGTGCTCCAGTGGAGGCATGTGACTGTGGCTGAGAAGAGCCTCCTGTAGCTTGTGTTGAGTTTAAGATATTACAATACCAGTACCCTTAAGGTGATCCTGATACTAACAGAGTATCTGATATGTTTTCTCTACTTCCATACACATCATGTGAATGGAAGCAGTCAGTTGTGTAAAATGCCACCAGGCCCATGTTTGGTCCCCCCTCTGTTGGGGTACCTAGCACACAGATCTGGTACTAAAAGGTGGAGCTGTGAACACTGCAGTCTGATTGGTCAGTAGAGGACGGTCACTCTGCTCAGGGCTGAGTTGTGGCTGGTTTTGAGTAAACCACACAGCAGCTGGAGTCTGAGAAAAAATAACTTCATTCACTGGGCCGACTGCCGGTGACTTTTAAGGTGGAACGTTAACTTGTAATGTTACTCAATGCATGAGTTGATGACGTGAATCCATCAGCACACCTTAAATTTCACTGTGACAACTTTGACCATCACTTTAGTTTTTATATGACACACACTTTTAGTAATGACTTTAAAAATATAAATTAATTTGGAGCGGATTATGTGAAGGTCATATATTCTAATCCTCACTTCCTGTGGGCTACAGCAACACTAAACCCCTGAGCTTGCCTGAGAAGGACTAAATGCACAAAGCTGCTATTTTTAAATATCCCATGGAGAGAGACTCTCACTGCAGCCTGTTCTATTTTGTTGTGAAAATGTGGGCGTGCAGCCTCGTTCTGTGGACGATAAACCAGGTGCAGACTTCCATCTGTGTCACCGCTGATGAGGAAATACAGCGAGTGCTGGACGGAGCAGTGAGTGACAACAACCTCGCCCACATTTAAGAGGACTGTCTGAACAGACCGAGGGTCTAGGTACCATGTCTGAAGGGTTACTGCTGGTACTGAAAGGGTTTGACAGAATCAGGGTTGTACTTTAAATTACATTGTGTAAAACAAAATTTTCACTTTTCCAAGACTTTTAAAGGACCCAAAAAAATGTAAGCGAGTGGGTGTACATGAGGAGAGTGATGGATTGAGGGGGGTGAAAATGAGGAAATGTCTGTGATGGTAAATTAAATGTCACACATGGATGCATATTAAAGCAACATTACATCAGCTACAGAAAACAAATTTGCTTTTACGTTAAATTTCATGGAAGATTATCCACGAAAGATTACTGTAACTATTTCATTACACACAACAAAATTCCATGACTTTTTCAGGCCTGGAAAATGTGATTATGAAATGAGTTTTCCGGGTTTTCCATGACTGTGGGAACACTGTATTTTGATTTTTCTGACTGGCTTTTGATTTCTAAATTTAAAAAATGAACCATATTTTACTAATGTGTCAAACTTTGCCTCAACTTTTCCTCTGGGATCCATTTCCTGAGGCGTTTCACGCAGCGATGAAGGTTTCCATAGAAACCACGTCGGTGTGTTCACACAGAATGATGAGCGGAGCAGCAGCGTCTGTACAGGTACACCATTTAATAGTTATTATAGACATTTTATATACATTTCAACAGTTGTATTCTGCTATGTGGTACAATCTTTAAAATCTGCTGTTTCATAGTTTGTAAATCAAAAAAAAAAAAAAAAACTTACAAAACTCATCAAAACTCGCAAACTGATCAGAACTTTTTTTTTCCATTTTTTGGAAGACTAGAAAAAATACTTTTTATTGTATTAATCATGCATTACACAAACAAAAAAAGAGTCTTTAGTTACACAGTAAGTTGTAGCGTGGGTGAAGAGAAAAATAAAGATTTTGTTTGTGATCGATCAGGAGACGCTCAAATCCCTTCAGTTACAAAAAAAAATTAAATTAGAACAAACCGCAACGATGAAATAAAACTCGCTGTGTGTCAAAACAGGTCAGAATGTTCAGCCAATCAGGTGGCAGCTGTTCGTTTTTAAAACCTGCCCCAGGAGGCGTCTGATTGGACGGTTTCTCCTGGAGCTCAAACAGGTACTTCTTTCCTTATAAGGAAAACAAATGATATAAATAACTTCTGCTTGTTGAAGCTGTGATGAAGAAAAGTCAAATGATCTCAACGTGAAGACAAAACTCACACAGTGATATGAGGAGGAGGAGGAGGAGGAGGAGGAGGAGGAGGGTGTCACACCTGCAGTTTCTCCCAACATGGGACCGTTGTCAGTTTTTACTGCAGCAGCATCTTCTGATTACAGAGACCTGTGGTGCGTTCAGGTACCAATTGTAAAGCCAATTACCACAAGTTAGTGGGGTTTAAAAAGTTAGAAAAGATCTGCAGAAAGTTCTTATTTCTGTTGTGATGAATCTTTTTATATAAATAAAACACGTTAATCTTTGTGTGTCTGCGAGGACAGGTGGTGACAGATAGACAGAGCTCGTAGGTTTCTCATCTTCCTCGGCCGAGGCTCAACACTCCTCAGCAGCTCCTCCCTCTCGTTGCTATGGAGGCCCTTTCCACCAATGTGATGGGAAATAAAAAGATCCTGTGAGTTATTAAAATGAGAAACTCTCAAAATAATGAGTTGATCTAAAAAATAAATGACTAGCCTATTTTAAAATAATAACTGAGAATCTTTCTAAAAAAGACTTATAATACGAGTTAGTATTGCAAAATAATGGACTTACTGAAAATGACTTAATTTGACAAAGTAATGACGTAATATCTCAAAATGACTGAGTACTGCAACATAATCAGAAACTTTCTCAAAATTAAAACTTGCTATCAAAATTAATTTAGTATCTCAAAATGAAGTCTGTCATTATTTTGAGATACTAAGTCAGTTTTGATAAACTAAATTATGATGCAATACAAAACAAGATGTAGTAATTTAGCGAAATTACGTCATTATTTGAAGATACTAAGTGAATGTTTTGGTGAGCTATTTTGAGATAGTCATTTTAAAATACTAAGTCATTATTTCGGGAAACTAAGTCACTATTTTGAGATACTAGGTCATTATTTCAAGATACTTAATCTTTATTTTTGTGAGTCATTATTTTGTTAAGTTGGCATTTTGAGATAGTAAGTAACTCTTTAGAGATACTAAGTCATTATTTTGAGAAGCTAAGTCATTATTTTGAGCCAGTAAGTCATTAACTTCAGATAAGTCATTATTTTGAGATACTAAGTCTTTATTCCAAGATACTAAGTCTTTATTTTGAAATACTAAGTCATTACTTTTGTTAAGTCAGCATTTTGAGAGTGAGTCATTAATTTGAGATACTAAGTCATTATTTCGAGATACTGGTCAGTAATTACTTTGAGACAATGAGTCATTATTTCCAGATACTGAGTCATTTTGAAAAATCACATCATTTATTTGGTAAGGCATGTTTTTGAGATACTAAATCATTATCTTGAGATCATTCTTTATTATAATTTTTCTGAATTTAAGTCATTATTTTGGGAAGTCATTAAAAGATACTAAGTCATTTTTTTTAGATAATTATTTTGTAAAGTCATTAATTTGAGATATTTTTAAGATACTAAGTCATTTTGAGGTACTTTAGATATACTTGAGATATTAAGTCATTTTGTTAAGGTGGAGGAAAAATATCGACAGTTGAATTTACAGTTGAAAAAAGCGAATAAATCGCAATATATTTTATCACAATACTCAACATGTGACTTTAGCATCATGATAATATCGTATCGTGGGGACATTTAAATAAATTCTCTCACTATATTAACTTCCAGGATCTTTTTTTTCCCCATCACACTGGCAGCAATGGGCTTCCGTACTACTCTCCTTTACTTTCTACATGACGTGACACCTCCACTGAGATGGAGGTCGATGGCAGGACTGGACGGGAGTGAGGACCCAGAATCCTCCTCGGTGCCGTTAACGAGACGTTTCCACGTTTATAAAAACGATTATAAAAACTAGATTTATTTTACACAAACAGAAAACGTCCATACGTAACTACAGTAACGCCGACGCCTGAATCCTTCGCTCCGTGGTTTAAACGCAGGGCTCTGTTGGGCCCGCCAGGGGCTGAGGTGGGGGATGTATTAACCAATCCTCTGTTCCCATCAGGACAGACATCCAATCAGCTCACACCTCGTCAGAGAGAAACAGAAAAGCTGATTTTTAACCCAACATGGTCGTTCATGACGTGTTTAGAAACAAAACCGACACGTGATGTTCAGTTTCTTTAACTTTGATATATTTTAACCTCTTAATTATTTAATCCTCTTAAAACACTGTAAAAAGTCATTTTTCTTGACGCTTAACTGCAGAATTTAAAATTAAAAACTTAAATACAACAAAACCTCGACGGGTTAAAACACCAAACGTTCTGTTCCTTGGTTATAAGCAGCTTCCTCTTCTCTCTGCTGCAGCTGGAGACGCTTTA